GCTTGAAATGATAAATGGTTTATAATGCTAGGTCCTCACTGTGAAGTATGGCCTAGTATTGCAATGACAAATTTTGTTAACACATGACCTTACCTAGGAACTTCCTTTCTCCCAAGCCTGTAGATCTGACCAATAATATTTTTATGTGCTTCACTTTTAATAAAAACATTGAGTTTAACGTGTCAGAGTTGTAGTGATACTTTCTGCCTCCTTATTTCCTTCCTTAATATTGATGATCATTCTTTAACTGTTGGCAACATATAACAGTGTATATAAGTATTGTGTGTAATGTGTACGCATCTCTTTCTACAACAGACACAAACACACACACACACACACACACACACACACAATCCTGTCAATAGCAGACTGTGTATATTACAGTAGTCTCCTATGTTTACTTGGTGATTGCATCAGATGTTGCAGTGATGACTCACCTGCCCCCTGTAGTTTCGTGTAAATACAGCCAATGATGTTTGTGTAATCATGAGATCATATAATTACTCTTAAATTAGACTGTATGCTTGTTATAAAGCAGCATGCTTATAGAGAATTACTTCACCTGAGGATACATAACTGTCGTGTGCCCACCCTTCTCAAATATACTTAAGTGCAGGGGTAATTTTTCACTTTGTGTCCAGAGAGAACTTAGACATAGTATACATTTTAGCCCAGGTATCAACATCTATTGAATAAGAAAACTGCTTATTCTAAAGCACAAAATCAGTAATTGCTATGCTTATTTTTCTTCTACTGAATTGTATCAAATATTCCTTACTTCCTAACTTTTGCTGAACAATTTTAGAGTACCAGGGACATTTAGTGCAGCAAGTGCCAGTAAAAATTATCTACTCAAATCAAATTATCTATTGATGGGGAATCTGAGATAACAACTGCTCAGTAAGTTAGTTAAGCAGTGAGAAAACTTGGAAATGGAATTATGGTCCTGTTGTTGGGTAACACAAATTTTCCACACTTTTGTGATCAGGTTGTAAGAAAGTCTTTGGGCATATCTCCAACCAGGGAGCCAGCAAGAGGCCAGTGGGAATTCCACTGAGGGGGTGTCAGGAGCACTTTGTGAGGGAGGATGGTCCTCACATAGCCTAGGCAAAGCTTTTTCCAAGAATGGGATGACACATGTCCTCTATATAAAGCCGAGAAAATGAACTTATTCACAAATATGCAATATTATTGTTGCCATAAAGAGAAATTAGTCAGAAGACACGACTATAGATTGCAATTTTATTATCTGTTCCTTACAAGGAAAATGGAAAACAACACTGTTCCCACTTCACTGGGTACCTCAAAATTACATCTTATACATGAAAAGATATTGTAAAGGATGGATATATATATATATATTCTTGCCTATGTAATGCTCATTACTCTCTTCATAACTATGTATTGTTTCTAGTTGTGTATAAAATTATAACTTTTGTGGCATCCCACAAGGAGTGTATTTTTGTAGTTAACTACATTTTATTGAAAATATTGAAGACTCTTTGGTAAATTTACTTGCTTGAATGGACATCATTGCTTCATGACCTTATCATATAAGCCTATTACTTGACTCACAATTTTTCCTATTGTTTAAGTACCATAAAAATTAAAAACTATAATTCCTTGTTTATTTTCAGCATCTAGCCTTGTGCTCCATTCATATAGTGATGTTGCTTCCCTGTCGCTATCTCTCTATTCATACAGATTACATACTACAATATGTGAGAATTTTATGTATAGTATTTTACATATGAGCATATATGGACATGAATATATATTCATGTATTTCTTAGTAATCACAAAACCTAGCTTATAGAATAAGCTTCATTAATTTCTCTATAGTTGTATAAACTCAGATATAGGAATATAATTGAATATATAATATATGAATATTTATTTTAATCAGTTATTTTGTAAAAACCATACATGTATGTATATGCATATATATAATCATATACAATTTTCAGTACTTCTTCAAAATTTGTTTAAGTTGTTAAAAACCATTAGAGTAAGTTGATATTTTGCTACCAGGGAGAGGAGAAATTGCTTTTACTTTGTATAAGAATATTTTAGGGCTAAGGATGCAGTTCAGTGCCTCAGATGCTTGAGTACTCAAAGTTCCATCCTTACTATTATCAAAACAAAAGTCCCAAGAATGATATTGTATAAGGATGTGGTCATAGGATCCTGTGATATTTTGTTTGTTATCTAACAAATGAAGCTTGCCTGAAGATCAGAGTACAGAGCTAGCACACCAGTTAACCATAGATACCAGGCAGTAGTGGTGCACACCTTTAATCCCAGCACTCAGGAGACAGTCAGGCAGATGTCTGTGAGTACATGACCACCCTGGGCTAAACAAGACTGCTGCATTCTAAAAGAGATACAGAACCAAAGGGTAGTGGCTCACACCTTTAATCCCAGCACTAGGGAGGCGGAAACAAGCATGATATGTCTGGAAGGAGAGAGGAAGGAATACAAGGTGGAAGGAGACAGGAGCTCATGACATTCAGTCTGAGGATTCTTAAGGACAGGATCAACCCTTGGTCTGAGGATTCAGTAGAGGTAAGTGGTCTCTCCTGTGGCTGGCTCCTTTACTTCCTGACCATCCAGCATTTACCCCCATATCTGACTCTGGGTTTAAGACCTATTAGAACTTTTGCTACAGGGTACCAACATTTGCTTGGCATTTTTCTATAGCCCATATATCAGTGATTGCGAACTCTTAAGTATCATTGAATAATACTGAATTTTATTAATCTCATTTTCAAATCTATCCAGAGGTTAATAATGAAAAAGTTTTGGAGAAATATCTATGTCCAGAAACTGTTCTCAACATTCCTAATGCTTTAATACAGTTCCTTATGTTGCAGTGACCACCCCCAAGAATAAAATTATTTTTGATGCTACTTCATAACTGTAATTTTGCTACTGTTAAGAATCTTAATGTAAATATCTGATATGCAACCCCACAGGGGTTGTGACCCACAGGTTGAGAGCCACTGTCCAATACACTGATAATTGTGACTTAAGATCAGAACCTGGAAATCTGGTTCCACTCTTATAAGGTTCACAGAGAGTCAAACTTGGATAAAGAAAAACCTCTAAAGGTTTACGGTGTGTTTAAAAATATATGTAAGATTGAGAGAGAAAAAGAAACAGCATAGTGATAAATAGAGAAGCCGACTGTGGTGGCACACGCCGGTAGGATTTGCTCCAGAGGCAGAGGCAGGCAGATTTCCAGAGAAACCCTGTCTCAGAGAAATAAAAAAAAATAATGAAAAGTAAAACAAATAGAGTAATATAAGCCACGTAAGATGGAAAGTACACAGAGTCTGGATACTGTATGCTATTGTGTTTTTCAGTTTTTTGTTTGCTAAAGGAACAACTGCTAAAGTACACTTGATTATAAATGCTGCTAAATTAATTCAACTTATATCTTTTAAAAATGCCTTGACTTCAAAACTTAAGTATAAGGATATGTTACTTTGGAAAAAATATTTTATTTGTGTTTCCACAGAAAATGGAAAGCTATGGATTCCTTCCAGGCTTCTGTGGTTTGATGAACCAAGACCCCTGGAAGCAGTGGCCCAAGTGATTCAACATCTCAAACAGCTAAGATGATACAGCTTTACAGACCACAAAAATAAGGACTTACACAGGTTTCTGAGTTTTGTCATGATCCCCATGGTATGAACAGCGCCCCCCATCCAGCAGGAAGTAGTTTTATTGTTTATAAATATTTGTTTTCATTTAAATGGGGTTGCTTATAATTAGTTAATGATCACAACCAATATCTTTTTAATGGTAAAAAGGGGAATTATGGTATGAGTATGGTTTTTTATTTATTGATACAAATTCAAGGTCAATTTTGTGGTATGTATATTTGTCTTCTTGATTAAGTATTGTGCTTATACTGATCTTTTAAAACATAATGCATAATTAAATACAGATTATAGATAGTTACTTATAATAGTCAGAACTTAAAGTTAGGTAAGTTAGGTTTTCTAAATATATAGAGATGTATTTGAGATATATAGATAGTCTTCAAACCTTTCAATGGCATTTAAAATGGTTTAGGGTTTTGCTTGACAATGAGAAATGTCTGCTCCTGGCATCACCAGTTATGTCTAAGAAGAAGATGGGCATTGAAGAAACTCATTATTTAGTTTGCTTTCAACATGGCAAGTTAGCCATTTGGGCAAGAAATGCTCTTGCCTAGACTGTTTGACTGTTGCTGTATAATCTGGACATGCAGGACCCACAGAAAAGTGACTGCTGAACTCAAACAGTTCTTCAGGGTTCCTTATTCATGGAAGAGTCTAGGAGATTTTCTGCAGGACACAGAAAAATGACTGACAGACTGCCAATGTAGATGGACAGTTTAAAATTTCCTGCTTTGCTGAGAAGTCTTCCTATGGGCTGAAGATGGATGCCCCAATGTTACAGCAGAACTTCGGGTGACTGTCCAGGTAGCAAGATGTCTCTGTCAATTCCAGTGTTTATATAGTATCCTTCTGTGGTCTTTGATAGAGTTGAAGGCAGATAGTTATAATTATAATTTTCCTTAGTTATGATAAAAGATAATCTTTATATAGAACTTTGGACTCACAAGGATGGGATGGATGCTATTTTCTTTAAATCTTGCTAAATTATTGTAACTTGCTAAAATATTGTAACTGTGTTCTTGCTTCATAGCTGTTGTATTATATATAATTTGACTATGTTAAAGTTAAGACCTTTCTTTTTATTTAGACAGAAAAGAGGAGATGGTGGGGAAGTGTATATGTCAATAAAACACTGTTGGCCAATAGGGAAGTAAGATAGGTGGGACTAGGAGTCAAGCAGGATGCTGGGAAGGAGAAACACAGGGAGTTATCATGTAGCTGCACAACATTCCTAATGCTGTGACTATTTAATACAGTTCCTTATGTTGCAGTTACCACCCCCAAAAATAAAATTATTTTTGATGCTACTTCATAACTGTAATTTTGCTGCTGTTAAGAATCTTAATGTAAATATCTGATATGCAACCCCATAGGGGTTGTGACCCACAGGTTGAGAGCTACTGTCCAATACACTGATAATTGTGACTCAAGATCAGAACCTGGAAATCTGGTTCCACTTTTATAAGGTTCACAGAGAGTAAAAATCACATTATACTCAGAATCCTTTTTTAAAGGTAAAGTGTATCTATGTAGCCTTGGCTGTCCTGGAACTCACTACACAGGCCAGGCACCAGGCTGTCCTGGAATTCATAGAGATCTGCCTGCCTCTCTTTCCCCAGTTGCATATGCCAGCTGGACAAGCTTCAGCATTCATTTTGATAGGCATAGCCATCTAGGAGAAGCAGCTTGGGGAAACAAATGCTAACACTCACATAAGAGTATGTGTGTGAGTCAGGATGAGTTCGTTCACCAGAGGAGCAGTTCTACAGACTGCTACCAGCTGTAAGAACTGTAGTAATATTAAGATGTCAATGAATTGTATCATGAAACATGGTAGACTCTGTTCTTTTTGTCTGTTCAATTTTGAGACATTGTCTCAGATAATTCAGGCTGTCTTCAAACTCACCGGGCAGCCGAGGAAGGCCTGGGACTTACCATGACTTCCCAATTCACAATCGGCTTCTCAGGATGAAGTCAAGAAGCATCTGTAGGAAGTTCAGGATTGAGTGTGGGCTGAAATCACCCCTAACACTTGACTTAGGCGTGACAGACACACAGGGTAAAAGATTTCCTACCAGGAACCCACCTGCTAAAGTCGCTCCCAGTGCTGCAATCACCGAAAAGAAGACTACAATCACCAAACGGAGGCCGGTGACTTGAGAAGGGTAAAATCTCTTTCTGCAACTGGGTTGAAATTCCTGAGACTCTGGGATGAATGGACAAGATATCATTTTCTATAAAATTCTAAGCAGGTCTTCGTTACTGGTAAGTCCATTAATGATAGCCCATGATGTCAAGTGCAATGAATACAAACTAATAATGTTTCGATATACTAGCAGCTATCAAAGAGCAGTGCTACATCTTAAGTAATTATGGCAACAAAGGATACCAGGAAAAAATAAACACATATGATAAGAGTCTACTTTTATAAGAACCATTGAATCTTTACATATGTCTGACTTACCTGTAGATTGACAGACTCCTGAGTTTGTTAGTGTTATCTCCTCATTCATATCTCTCATCAAGGTAAAACAAAAAGATGTAGTCTGGTTGTGATGGACACCCTGGGTTTAGGATCAGGCCTGATGCTTCTTGGGTTTAGCTTCAATCACGTAGATGTAGAAGGTCTAAAGTGAGATTGTCATGATAACATAAATATGATGACCAAAGTTCTTCACAACTGTGACTGGCCGTATAACTTCTTCAAAATCCAGTGCTTCATCCAAAAGACATTAAATGTCAATACATTGTATAGAACAATGGACTCAGCTGGAGACAATGAATGGATTCTTCTGTTGAGCTCAGTGGAGGAGATTGAGGCTTACACATCAGTGAAGTCACCATATTGGATCTTCTTACCATCACTCCAGCTTAGCAACTTTTTTGTTTAATTTTGATCAGCCACAGCCCACAGTTTTTGTCTAAATTATTTGAGCATGAAATAACAGCATTCAGTTGAAGGAAATAACACTAGGAAGGATCACATCTCGTTACTAGTTTGTATTTGGTTTATGAGAGCCCAGATGTTAGCTCTTGATATCTATGACTTTATTTAGACTCAAACTGTTATCACACAGTGGTTACTGTGATCTTTAATTCACAGATGTGCTAATGTCTTAAAGTACTAGGGAGGTTGAAAAGCTTCTTTAAGGAAACAACTAATGTGTGGCTGTCAGCACAGGACCTGAATCATGGCTCAGAGTCCCCTTTACTTTAATGAACCTCACTGAAGGGAATTACATGTCAGCTCCCTTCCCAGTCTTCCTACTCACTGGCCTTCTTTCAGTATATTTAACAGTCGTCGTGCATGGAAACCAGGACTCTGCTCATGTAGCACTCAGAGAAACTAAACTGATCCTCTGTTAGGTTTCGCTGAGAATGTCCTTATTTGCTGAGCTGATATTACGATGTCTCAAGTCCATTAGCAAAAAGCACTGGATTGCTATGTCAAATTTAGATAATTACAATCATGTAATATTACTTGACATCATGACAGACAAATATCAGGGAGTTTAAATGTTAAGCTGGGTTAAATTTTAGCTGGGCTGTGGTGGCGCACGCCTTTAATCCCAGCACTCGGGAGGCAGAGGCAGGCAGATCTCTGAGTTTGAGGCCAGGCTGGACCGACAGCCTCCAAAACAATACAGAGAAACCCTGTTTCGTAAATACCAAAAAAAAAAAAAGAGTGATTTTTTTATGCTGAATGCTTAAAATAGGTCAATCTCATTCCTAATTTTTTAACAGACAAACAAGCGGTCTCTCTCTGTCTGTCTCATAAACACACACACACACACACACACACACACACACACACATGCTTGCATACATGTGGGGGTGGGGAGAAAGGGAGAGAAAGGAAGAAAGAACTACATTACTTCAAACATCACATGCTATTCTGTGAATTTACTTTTGTCTCATTAGCCATAGCTTTTCAATACTGTGAATTAACATCTGCTCTCACAAAGTCTGTCCTGCATTTGGTTAAAGTTGGGATCCAGGCTGAAGGCTCTTTCTTCTCTTGGAGATGTCAGTGATGTAGCAGGAAGAGGACCCAGCCCAGGTACTTGGCTTAACTCACCCTCTGACTGACCTCTGTTGGGGGGGGGGGGAAGCACCATGGCTTCCACTGAGAGAAACCAGGAAGTCACATTGCCCTAAGTGTAAGTCTGCCAAGAGTAGGGGCCAGTGAAGAACACCCCTGCCACTGAAGCCCTTTCTGGACCTCCCAAATCCTCCTTTCATCTGTGCTTGTCAGTCTTTCTGATGGTATTTGCCTTGTTAACTATGTCTACCTAAGACTGCTACTTTTGTCAACCTGACACTGTCATGTAGGCCACGCCTTCTGGGACCAAAGACCTTTTCACAATGAATGATATTTACTCATTCATCTATCTCAAAGAGACTAAGCTTGAAGAGAGAAGGAAATCTGATTACTGCGATTGGCACTAAACAAACTACTGAAGCCAGTATTTCTTGAAAGAGTAATTGAGGGGCTGGAGAGGTGGTTCAGTGGTTAGAATCACTGGCTGCACTTGTGGAGAACATGGGCTTTGTTACAAATATGCACATGGAGTATCATAAAACAATAAAACATTCTACTAAATGGGAGTATTGAATTTCATATGCAGCAAGTCTTATTTTCTTATTTTACATGTATGGCATTTTGCTTACATGTGTGTCATGCACCAAAGGGGTGCCTGGTGCCTGCAGAGGGCAGAAGAAGATGTCAGGTCCCCCTGGAACTAGAGCTAGAGATAGTTGGAATGGTCGGGATGTGTAGGTCCTGGGATATGAACCTAGGTCTGCTGCTTTGCTCTAGCATCCTTGGTACTATACACATGTGGTGCAGTTTCATACATGCAGGCAAAAACACTTGAACACATAACATTAAATTAAATAAAAAAATCTGAATAAGTAAATGAATGTTTCAGCCCACTTTATAGTACCCTCTTCAGTGCTGTTGGACTCAGCCACTCATCTAAGAAACGAATCTGCTTTAATTCCAATATAATGACTTGTTCTTATTTATGCTGCAGTTTTTTGGTTACTTCTTTTATTCCAGACTTAGTTATTCATGCTCCTCCCCAGACGCCAAAAAAAAAATATAATTCCCCTCAGAAACAGCTGCGATAAAACGAACACTATTTTTCTCTTTTCCACTTTTGCTTCAATTTTCAGAATGGCACCCAAATTTTCCTTTGGTCTGTTTTAGTTTGGCAAATCCTGAATTTTATAATGAAAGAGAGAACAAATTATATACTATTAAATAAGGAGTGACCAGAAATGATAAACTTCATTTTCTTCCTGCAGCACCCATGTGACTATGCACACTCTGCAATTACAGTTTTGTTACTTTGAGACTGCCTGCTAAGTTTCCCTAAGTCATTCATTAAATTCAGAGTTCCAACAGTGAAGAAAGAGAAAACAAGAAACCATCCCTTTCACATGTATTCCACTGCCAGGTCAGGTCCCAAATACTCACTGCAGTCCTCTCCGCCTTTCTTCTGAGAGACTTTCCTCAGAGTTGTTAAATGTCTGGATGCTGAACTTGAAAAAGCAAGATGTTTCCAAGGGAATCTGATGCTCTCTCCTCTGCCCAGCTCTCTCCCTCTGGACCTCTGTCCTCTCTAGGATCATAAGTAACAGGCAATGGGTGACTCATATATACACAGTGAGTCACAATGGGAGGAAAATGAGAGCTGAGCTAGCAACCCCAAACCTCAGAACTTAGAAAAATCCAAACCCTAATTGTGGGTCAAGTGAGAAAAGGGAAGAGAGAAACAAAACTGTAATAATTTAAGAGAAAAACTCCAAGTGCACAGGTGACCAGTTTACCAGCTGAATGTCCAGGAAACCTAACTATGAAACCTTGGAGCCCGTAACTGCTCCATTTTTCCCATGTGGTGGGGGGAGCAGGCTATGTGTACACAAAGGTCTTATCAGGTAGAGAGAGGGTTTAAAACATAAACGTGTTACAAAGTGGAGGAGATAAAAAAGATTTGAATTTCTCATTGTAAACACAGGTTTTATATTTGATATTTGTATTTGATAGAAAACACTCACATTTAATGAAGCACAAGTGTGTCTCCAGTGACAATTCACGCCACAAACCCAGTAGAAGTAAGAAAACAGCTCTTCGATGGCAGCTTGCATCTGACTCTGGCTAGTGCCCAGAGAGAAGCTGGTACCCAACAGAAGCTTTTACTAACCTACACGCACCTTAGACTTGAACATTCCACATGCACTGTCATCCTTAAATCTCCTTTTGGATTCAGCTCCAAGTTATACTTTCATTAATTTGAGCAGAGACAGGAAATTAAAAGTCTGGCAGATGGGAGATTTACAGAGAAGACTTTTTGCCAGGTTTATTTTTGAGTATGCCAGTTGTTACCCAGGTTTTTCTTGCCCACCTGACAGAATTATACTTTTTTTTTTCGAGACAGGGTTTCTCTGTATTGTTTTGGAGGCTATCGGTCCAGCCCAGCCTCGAACTCACAGAGATCCGCCTGCCTCTGCCTCCCGAGTGCTGGGATTAAAGGCGTGCACCACCACCGCCCGGCTATACTTTTGACAAAAGAAGATAATGGGTAGGGTGGCAGCTTTACAGCATGAAGGATTTATAGATAGTAGTCACCCTGGGCTACCTCCTTGAGTTGCCCATTAGAGCTATGTTCTCTGAAGGAGTATGTCAGGGTTGTCTCATCCGTTATGGGAATGGAGCTTAATTGCTTGTCTGCCAATGGTATTAAACAAACATTTACACTCCAGCATTCTAAATTTTACTGATCTCTACCCGGCCTAGATAGCATGTTACTTATCTTTGGAGTATTGTAGAGACAACATCCCCCTTAACCCTTTAGTAAATCTACTTTGTGTGACTTAATGTCGCCAAAGCATGTCTATTAGTAAATCCTTTATAACATCAATTCTATTACTTTGAATTTCTTCCATATTAACATATGGGTGGAATTTAGCCTGAGACTTCACCCAAACAATGTTCTAAAAAATATTTTCTGTCATCTGATAAGATTTGAAAAGATGTCATAATAAAAAGGCTGAACATAGCTGTCATTGCCAGGTCTATAATGCATGCTAGCAACTTTTATAGACTCTGGGCTGGAATGGAAGAAAATTATATTTAAACCTGTGTGTAAAGTGTTGTGTGACTACAATTGCCTGGAACTCTATCTAACTCCTGAGTTAAAACCTGCCAAATGGAAGGGCAAGCCTCTGCAAAACTCAAGAACACCCTACCCCTCCAGCTAAAGACAGAAATGGGAGCTTCTTTTACTGGAAAGCAACGGACTTTTGTGCTTGCTCTCCTCATCACCCCGAGGTTTGCCTCATAGACACTCCTGGGTCCTGTTTGTGTCTCATCACATAGTAATTTCTCAATCTCAGAAACTGTCTTATTTGCTGCCATAGATGCAAGATATATGCACCTTAGTTTATATCTCTTCTAGATCTTTGTAGTTTTTCTTAATTCGTGAACTCTCTGGTCACTTTAGACTCTATGTTCAATAATCAAAACCATACCTGTTTCAAAGTCCTTTCAAATATATATTTCAAATTGAATTTATCAGTGCCCAGGCTACAATTTGTACAAATTCTCATAGTTAGGAAGAGGCGCCCCTTTTTATGGCCAAACTACATTTCACATTAGTGACAGAAAAGCAAATGCTTTTGAAGATATAAAATCAGTTTTGTTTCATTTTATTTTAGTGTTTTAATGGGTCCTGAACGGCAAAGTCTACTTGCGTTAATTCTGTAAAGCACAGAACTCTACCATCAGTCCAGTCCTCACCATTCTCGGGATGCCTGGCAGGAGACAGCTCATTGTGCAGGTTGGGGAGGAGGCAGTTTTTGAGAAGTTTTGACAAGGTAGGCTTATTATGCAATGTTTTCTGTCTTCAAATCTGCCAGGAAAAGAGAATCTATATCTCCGCAACTGTTTCCTCTGCTCTGCTGGGAAGAGGGACTTTCCCAAGGGACGGTGGCAGTTTCTTAGTCCACCACATACACTGATTAGAAGCAGAACTAAGGTTTTTAGCAGTTTTCAGAGTAGAAGACAATCTGTTCCCAAGCACAACCCAGCTCATCCCCCTTCTTCACTGTTCCCCAACCCATCAACAATGGTATTTCATGTCCAGGTTCCTTGGTTACATAAGATCTCTTCAGACTTAGAAACCTCATTAGTCTAAAAGGGTATTATTTTATTAATTCTAATATTTATTCTATTTTACAGTGTGTGTGTGTGTGTGTGTGAGTGTAGGTGCTTTCAGGGGTCAGAGGTACCACTAGGAGATGGTTAGAGGCAATCTTAAGCCCCTGGCTTTAGGTGCTTGGAATTGAACTCAGGTCCTCAGTTAGAGCAGTAAGCACTTTTAACTGCAGAGGCATCTCTTTAGCTCCTATATTACTTGTTGAACAAAACAGAAAATAACTACTGAGTATACACTGACTATAATGAATATGACAAAACTATTTTTAAAATGTTGGGATGAATTTTCACTTGATTTTACCAAAATTAGCAGTAGAGTTCTGTTTATCAAGTTGGCCTTCAGAAGGATTGGGTCTTAAAGGGAAGTTTCAAGACCACTTGTAGGTGTGTTTATTGTTGGGGAGGGGAACTTTACATGAGGGATAGTCCTGTCTCCTCCACCTAGATCAAAGCACCTCTGATTTCCATGTGAAATTAATTACATTATCTAACAATCTTAAATGCCTCGGAGTTAGAAGAAAATTAACGAGTGATGAAGTTGGGTCAAGTGTAATCGAGTTTATTGTATTCTTCTATTAGTTATCAATAGAGTTAAAAGTATTAAAAGCATATGGTAAATCCCCAGCCCACAGCTGTCCCAGGGTTAGCTGGACACAACAGCACCTGTCCTGGAGCATACCCTAGCTGTCTCCCAGACATGGCAGCCATTCTTTGGGAATCGCAGACTCTACCACCCCACTGCATAGATCACATCAATTGTCTCCAAGAGTCAGCTTCAGGGAAGCATGAGTCAAGATTTGTGGAAAAGGGAAAAGCTGGCCTGAGAAAAATAACCCGGAGTGCAGAAGGGAGTGGGGGCAAACGCAAGGGAGGGACTAAAACTCTGAGGTTAGGAAACTTAAGCAAGTATCTGCTACCCAGAGAGAGCAATCCCTCACCTGTCACCATTGCAGAACCTAGCTCTGCCCACACAAAGGTGCTCAAGTAGGCGAGGTGTCCACATCCCTCCAGAGCCTGACCCTCAGGGAGTTCTGGGAGTGGAAGGTTTAATTCACTAACCACAGGGGGTGAATTGTTCCTAGCCCAGGAGACCCAGAGTTCCAGAGAAAAGGAAGTTTACAGTCTTTCTCATCCAAAATGCCACACAGACTCTAATTAGCTAATCTGTTGAGGGAAGGTCCCTACAGAACAAAGCATAACCTTAGGGGAATGGTGATCTTTCTTTTCACCAAGGGAAAAAGAATTTGGAGAAACACTTAATATTTCAGATTACTGCATTTTGGTTTTCTGTCTTGTCAGTACTGATGATGTTACTTTGTTTTGCTTTTGGTCTATTTCAGCTGTTATTCAGGTAGGCCCGGCCCCATAAGTAACTTGACCTTTAACACTTGAAGTTTTTTCCCCCTCAATATATGTTTTTATTTAAATTAGAAACATGAATGCTGCACATGTCAATCCCAGATCCCTCCTCCCTTGTCCCTCCACCAGCCCTCACAGCCCCCCACCCAATCCCTACATCATTCCCCAGGGAGGGTGAAGCCCTCCTTGGGGGATCTCCAAAGTCTGTCATTTCATCCAGGGAAAGACCTAGGCCCTTCCCCATGTGTCCAGGCTGAGAGAGCACCCCTCCATGTGGAATGGGCTCCCACAGATCATTCATACACCATGGTAAACACTAATCTACTACTGAAGGCCCCAGTGATTTCTGTGGCCTCCTCACTGACACTACTTTCATGGAGTCTGGATCAGTCCCCTCTCAGCCATCAGTCTGGGATTCAAGAGCTCCCCCTTATCTGGTCAGCTGTCTTTGTGGGTTTCACCATCAAGGTCTTGACCCCTTTGCTCATCACTCCTCCATCTCTGTCACTAGGGTCCAAGAGTTCAGTTCAGTGTTTACCTGTGGGTATCTGTCTCTGCTTCCATCAGTCACTGGATGAAGGTTATAGGATGGCATATAAGGTAATCATCAACCTTATCATCAAGGAGGAGCTATTAATGTAGTCTCTCGACTATTTCTTAGTTTGCCAGTTGGTGTTATCCTTGTAGATCTCTGGAGATCTCACTAGTGTCAGCTCTCTTCTCAAGCCTATAATGACTCGATCTATTATGGTATCTCTCATCCTGTTCTCCTCTATTCTTACCTTGACTCAACCTTCCTGCTCCACCATGCCTTCTTCTTCCCTCCTCCTATTCCCCTCTCTTTTACCTGGTTCCCTCTCCCCTCCCCCGACGTTCCCAATCTGATCAGGAGGTCTTGCCTCATTCCACTTCTCTGGGGTATCATGCATCTCTCTTGGGAACCTTCCTGTTTCCCACACTCACTGGCACTGGGATTGTAGGCTGACACTCCCCTGATCCATATCTAAAATCCATAT